CCCTGGGGGTCATGATTTGAACAATTTAGAATGTACACTACCCCAGGATGCTTCCACATAAGTCTCAGCTTTCCAGGCCCAGTGGTTCTTGAGAAGAAGATTTTTTTAATGACCCCACCCTATTTTTGTCTTTTCTTGATTATCTCCCCTTGCAAAGGGGCTTGGCCCTTCATTTTAACAATTTAAACTCCCCTTCATCCAAGGATGCTTTGTACCATGTTTGGTTAAAATTGGCCCAGTGATTCTTCAGAAGAAGTTGAAAATGTGAAAAGTTAACAAACGGACGGACGGACAGCTAGACGGACGGACGACGGACAACAGGTGATCAGAAAAGCTCAGTTTAAAGGTTTCAGCTCAGGTGAGCTAAAAAGGGGCGGAAACCTTACATGTAGTTTTTTTTTTCGTTGGGGCACTTCGCATCAGTTTTATTCAACTAACTCACTATTAGGTACATGTAGTTTGCAAATGGATAAATAAACAAACCCGGATAAAAATAATCTCCATCAGACTTTGTTTGTGATGATAGTAACTCTACCCATCTCTGAAATTTTATCAGACGTTATATAATCACATAAAAAATGTTTACTGCAAGCTGATAGTTATTATACAATCTAACAAGCTGATTATTTTTATACTAAATCCATAAGAGTGTGACTTGAATGATCGATATAAATATATATTTTGTATGTTTTTATCAGTCCAGATTTAACTATTGTAGTTTTTATAATTTCGTTTTAGAAGCAATGTATTTTCAATGTTTTGTTAGTTTTACTTTTTAAAATCAGAGTTAAGTCTATTTCAATCGGAATTTAATTCAGTTTTAAATCTTTTGAAGAAAAAAAAAACCTTAATTTGATTTTAAACATAAAACTTTGTAAAAACGGGCTTTCTAGTCTTAACCTTTATAAATTTTAATTGAATTACAAATTGAATTTCTAGGAATAAACTTTAAGATATAGGTATGCAGAGTAAAAAAGATGCCACTTTACTCTAAATTTACAGATACATGTAATAACTAATTAATCCAGGTTAAATCGAAAGAAATATTGTTTGTCGACAAAAGACTCACCTTCTTATTGTATAATATTAAATTATCAAATATCAAATAATGGGTGGGTTTAAAAGAGTCTTTGAAATTCCAAACCCGACTACTGTTTCTGAGCCCGACTAGTTCAAATATTTCAGAATGTTCAGGAATTTTATTGTCAGAAAAATTTAAGACGTATGGTCAAGATTTAGTAAATGAAACGTACAGATTTCTCAATTTTGATGCTTTATAACTATAGCTTGGTAGTATAAGGTGTATCGGGATATACTTTTTTTGATTGGTAGACGCAACGTACAAATATATTTTAAACTTTCATTTTCAATGTAAAATGAAGAAAAAAATCAGTTATAAATATGGGATAAACGTTTTAATATACTAATTCTAGGTTAATTTTATGCTGAAATAAAAGAATTTCAACACTTCAACATTTAATTGGCATTTGATCTACATTTAAACCAATCAAAATATAATCACATATAACAAATTGTATCAGGTATACAGTCAATTACACTCTATAAACAATAAATTTATTATTGTACAACTTGAACGTTAAAGGAATTGTCAGTTATAGCCATAGAAAGACAATTATTTTCATAACTTATTTTAAAGCAACACATTTATTGAACAAACATTCATGTCCTTAGTAATGCCTTATCACACTAAGTGAGACATTTTGAAGTTTTGAACTTAACAATGATTCTTTTTTTTCTGTGCACTAGTAATACATGCATGCTACAAAAAATATATCTTTCTAATTACATGGACATATGTCAATACTTCACTAGAATCTTCTCTCACATTCCTTAGTTTAAGAATGATAAAAACATTTGAAGGATATGAAACATTTTAAAATTCTTTAACTAATACATATCTATCTTCCTTATTGATCCTTTTTCAGTCAATAAGGACAGTATCTCCAAATACAAATTCTAAACCTCGTAAAACAAATTGATCTGGAACTCTACTATATACAAAGCTAGCTGCAGAACTCACTGTAGCGTTATGGTTTTATATTTTAGTCTTTACAATACAAAACTAGCTGCAGAACTGTAGCGTTATGGTTTTATATTTTAGACTTTGACCATAACGCTACAGATTCCGTAATGCAAATATTGTGCAATTTACAGCGCAAGATTTTCTGCGAACTTTGGGGATGTATTTCGCCACTCTTCAGCATTGGTCAATCAGCTACTTTTCATTGCCCGATTCTAGACATATTCTATAACCAACCTGTATATCTTATCATCCTCCTAACCCTTTATAGTCGTCTCTACAAACAAATAAACTCGCTTGTTGTGCATTTGTCGTTGGATGGCAAAAAATTCACAACAAGCGAATTTATTGGTCTGTAGAGACGACTTAAAAGGGTTAGGAGATGGATAAAATAGAATATGTCTAGAAAAGTAGTTGATTGACCAATGCTGAAAAGAGTGGCGAAATACATCCCCAAAGTTCGCAGAAAATCTTGCGCTGCAAATTGCACAATAATTGCGTAACGGGATCTGTAGCGTTATGGTCAAAGATGTAAATATAAAACCATAACGCTACAGTTCTGTAGCTAATACAAAACAAGCACCAAAACCCGACTCATCTAAGAAAGTAACTTTTAGAAATTTCTGGATAACAAGTGATAGACAGATAAAAGTACAACTTATATCCCCAATTACCAGTTAGAGTCCAAATGGGAAGGTTATACATTATTGCTTTTTAGACATGCAAAGCCAATCATATTTTGATTCATCAACTATTTTCCTACCCCCTTCTCCCCTTGAATCTTCAAAGTACCGTATAAGCAGAATTTTTTTTAGCGAGGATTCAATTTTGGTATCATAAGCAAGACTGTTGAGGTCCCTAAAATTGAATATCGCTAAAATTATTTCTGTGTAGGAGGTAATACTTGTCTTTATTGGTAGAATATAATCGCTAAAATAACCTCTCACTAAAATTATATATCAATATTTGTGAGCAAATCGCTAAATTTGCGTCTCGCTAAAAATACTTCTTACACGGTAAAATGCTACATATCCTTCATCTATATATGTTATTAATAAAGATTATAAAATTTATTCTAAAAAGATTTATATGACTTTTGCAGACTGTGAAATAATATAGAAGCAGGTTGATAATCAAACATAAGTTACTAAATTCATATATGTTTACAGATACATACACAAAATTCACGGAATCTTGACATGTGATGCCATTGCCTTAAGTATTACATTCTAATAATCTTAATAATTAGCACTGAAAGACACCTCGACTAGATAGGGGACAAGACTGTAAAGTCAATTATACATACTATAAACATATTCCAATACATAAATAAAAAAATATATAGATTTTTGCATGTATGTATAGATATCATTTGTCCCGGTATGATATTAATGATACATATAATATATAATAATAAATTTATAATTTTAAAATTATAAGCCGATCGAGACAGAACAAATTATGATTACATTGTAACTATTTAAAAAAAAAAATAAATCCAGGTAGAGATGTATCTTGGAATAGAATGTCAATAATATTTAACAAAAGCAAGTCTGGCAAAAAGCGACAATAGCTTATGGGCCACATAGCTCACCTTAATCATCCTGGCCCTGCTGTTCTCCATTAGAAGATTTTTCCCCTCTATATTACCTATCCTACATGTATGGCACAAATCATAGTCTCCAGGATTTATGACTTAACTTAAATCTACACAATTTAAGTAAGCTTCAATGTCTTTATATTGTATATTGTATTTATATTATATTAATGCATTGCTTTTCTGGAGAAGATTTTTTAACACCCACACTAGCTTTGCCTTTTCTTGATTACATCATATTTCTTGATAGTGGTGTTCTCTATTTGAATAAAATTGTTTCCCCTTTACCCTAGGATGCTTTGTGGCAAGTTTGGTTGAAATTGATTTGGTGGTTCTAAAGAAGAAGTTGAAAATATTAAAATATAACAATGGGATGGGCAGACAGAAAGACATGTACAGATGGAAGAAATATAATCTTTCATAAGAAAAGTTCACTTGAGCCTTGAGTGGTAGGGGAGATGGTTTAAACAAAATTGAATCTGCACTACCCGTGCATGCTTGCATATTAATATCCCTATCATGATCCGGCCGTTCTTGAAGAGAAAATTTAAAATCATTTCCATGTACAACTTTGATCCGGGAGTAGGGGGGGGGGGCAAACTTAAATCTGAACTATCTGAGGATATCACTTCCTGGCCATCTTTTTCTTGATACAAAGATTTAATCTTTTCCTTGTAAATAATCCCATGTTAAACCGCACTGCTTGAAGATGATTGTAGCTAATATTCTGCTGATCTTGAAAAGAAAATTTTAAATATTTTTCTTTTATATTCACCTTATTCACCCCCTCTGTTGGCCCCATTGAACCCCGGGCCATAATTTGGACAAATTTAAATTAACATCACTTGAAAATGATTGCAATTTAATCTTACTTATCATGACCTTGCTGTTCTTTTTTCCTGTACATTCTAATGTAAAACTTTGATCCCCTATTTATGGTCCCATTGTATCCCCAGGAATCAGGAATTGAACAAACTAATACTGTATTACCTGAGGATGATTGCGTCTTATTATTACTAATTCCGGCTATGTTGTTCACAAGAAATCATTTTTTTTTTCTTGGCAAATATATTCCCATGTAAAACTTTCATTTCCTATGGTAATCCGAACTTACCCCTAGGGGGCTATAATTTGAACAAATTCAAATCAACACTATGACAGGAAGCTTTTCCTTTAATAAGTTAATTATAGTGATAACTTTGACACTATGAAAACTATAGTTAACTATAGTGATAGCTTTGACACTTTGACTTACTATGGTGAAAACTGACATTTTTTATTTAATGTAGTGATCACTATGACACTATAGTGATCACTTTGAAAAACTTTGAAATACTATAGTGATCACTATGACACTATAGCGATAACTTTTAAAACTTTGATGTACTATAGTGATAACTTTGAAACTTTGATTTACTATAGTTAACAATAGTAAACTATAGTTAACTATAATTTACTATCGTATTTTTTGTTAGAGAGTGGTTCTCAAGAAGAATTTTGACTCCACCTAATTTTTCCTAATTTTGAATTTACTCCCCCTCACCTTGGAAAAGGTTGTTGCACTTCTATTGAATAATCTAAATTCCTTTCACCCGAGGATACTTAATGAGAAAACTGGATGGAATGAGCCTAGTAGTTCTTGAGAAGAAGACAAAATTGTGAAAAGTTTACGACAACAAAGACAACATACAAAAGAAAAATTTCCATCAGAAAAGCTCACAAGAAACATTGGCTCAGGTGAATTAAAAACCAAACTCCCTCAGGAAATTAAATTGTAGTGCTATGTGAATTTGGTCTCCTTAATCTAAATACCTGATGGGAATAAAATTTGTTAAATTAAGGATCGAGTGAAATTTTCAGATAGTAGATTCCGTTTTCAAAAAAAAAAGTTTTATTTGCGTTCACTTTCAGCAATAATACTCCTGCACTCAATGTGTTCATGATCTTCTGAATGAATTTCGATTTTGACTTCTTTGAATGTGTTCTTGGCTAGTTTGATTCTGTTGGCAAATATCCATGCCAAGAAAAACACTATCAACATTATGGCAGACTCCCCTAACATAATATAAGTGAACCACATAGGAGTGGAATTGTCCATCAAAAATCCTATAATAATAGGATTTATCGTTGACCCTGCAGAAGATGCAATAAGAAACAAAGAAGCTATAAATCCTGTGACTGGGAGAATAGATTCCTCGGTCCACGAGAAAATAGACGGGAAAATGATGGACATCGAAAATCCTATAAGTCCTGTAGAAATCCAAATCCCTTCATAAAACTTGAACTGAGCAGTCAGGAAAAATCCCAGAAATCCCAGGAGTAGAAATATGCTGAGAAAGATAATCATTCTTACAGTTTTAAAGCTGTGGGCCAGGAATATGCCAAGAAATCGTCCAGCTGTGAAACTCGCCCAAAATACGGCAGTTACTACAGAGGCTATGTATTTGGTCCACTTTAACTCACTGACACAAAAAGTAGCAAGAAAATTATTAAACCCATCTTCCATGGCACAATAAAGGCCCATGAAGAGCATGATGATGACCAGCATTAGCACCTTCATTCCTCTTGATAATTTCTCTATATTTCTCTCTTTGTTTTCATCTTCATTTTCAGGCTTCTGCTTTATCATGTTTTTTGGTCTTTTCGATGTGCAAGCAAGAATATATAAAGGGACAGTTGCTGTGATTGCAAGAAAAGCTGTTATGGAGAAAGGAATAAACAGTCTGGATTCCGTCTCGGACAAGTCTGAAAACCCCCAGTCTGTCGAATTGCCTACACCAGGGTTGGAAATTACACTAGCATTTTGTAAGACATTTCTCTGGTGTTGAGTGTTATTTCTATCTGGTGCCAAAAATGGGGCCGTTACAAATGGTGAAATTGCTCCCCCAATAGCATAGGCAAAATGTATACTCTGGAAAAACGATTTACCATCAGCTCTCCACAGACTTATTAAAAGGGCATTACCAGCTGAAAATTAAAACATTCTTCTTAAAAAGGTTTTACTCAAGAAAAAATTATATATATTAAAAGCAATAGAGTTTGGAAGAATTATTATCATATTAACAGTAAAGAAAAACGTACAACATTTCAACACTTTATAAATGAATTCCAGACAATAAATTAAAGGTCAAGTTTTGTGACATCAGAGACAACTGCTTCTTCAAAAACAATGGAACTCGTAAATTTTCATATCTTTTCATTGATCATCTGAAAACTTGTTTTGTAACAAAACATTCTGTTTCTACACAAGTACTACAAGGTTGATACCGGTATCAAAAGATTTTTGAGTTACTCATTGAAATATCTAGTTTTCGGAAACCAGGTCTTCCAACAATCAGTTGGAATTTCATGGGTACCAATTCTGTCCCGTTATTAGCAGACATGTTTTTTATTCTTATGAAGCAGGGTTTCTACATTAAATGTAGAAGTCTCTTTTTTGTGGCCTTAGATTCGAAATTTAGATACATTTATATCGACGACGTTTTATCATTTTCACTCCTACTTTGATTCAATATATCCCACTGAGTTAGAAATACTAGTAAACAAAAACGCAGAATCTCTCACATTTGTTTCATATTTGGATATTTTTACTAGAAAAAGACATTATGGCAAAGTAGCAACTCAGTTTATGAGAAACGCGATGACTTCATCTCTTTTACCGTCAACTTCCTTTATTTATGTAGGAAAATACCATTATCGCCTGCATATGGAGTTTATATCTCCCAGTTGAACTGATACGCAAAAGCATGTTCTACATATGAACTATATCTTAAACGGGGCAGATTATTGACAAATAAGTTATAAGATAATAAGATACAATATGAAAATCTCTTAAGTTTAAATTTCGCATATCTTATGGTCGATGCAATGACCTTCTTTGCAAACATAATCTGTTTTAAGGTAGAATGTTGACTGAAGTCTTTCATACAAATTGTTAGGCCATAATTTTCACATTGAATTGTCTACGAATTTTTTTCGTTTACCTAGTCATTACAAGGGGCACGCGGTAGGTATGACCGGTCGACAGGGAATGCTTACTCCTCTATCGCACCTGATCACACCTCTGTTTTCAGAGGTCCAAGTTGGTTCTGCTCACAATTTGTATTTCTGAGCATGATCACTTATCGCTATCTTCACATTTTATATCCATGATGAAGAAAGTTTGGCTGCAAAGTAAAAAGGAAAAGTTACGTTTAAAAGACTTTACATAAACAAAGTCAAAATAATATATTCAAATCCCTGTTACCCCTGCAACTGACTGTTAATAATATTGTTGGATGTGTTGTGTTAAATGATGGAAAAATTAACTATTTACCTGAAAACTTCATAATAGCCATAAATCTTGATAATTATCTTGATAAGAAGTCCCTCTTCAAATAAGTCCTAATTTATCGCCCTCTTTTAGAGTTGTGAATAATTAATGTCATTTTTAGATTGGGAGTAGAACTTATGTTAGGTACTAGTAATCATACAGTAGGAGGCGAAAAGTGTTGAGTAAAAAATGGCGTCAGGTTTGACGTTTCAAACACAATAAAGACAACTCGAAAGACTTACTAGGAAAAACACGAAATAACTCATCTCAATATTTAGTAAGGTGACCCTTCAATCTTTTGACCTGCTGTATTCTTCGAGGAAAAGAATGATAAAGGTATTTGATGTAATTTAAGTTAATGTCCTATCTTAAGCGTATGTGGAAAAGTTCGTCAGTGGAATTTATATTGAGTATCTGTGACTACAGTTTTCTTTTCATAAAGAGAATCATTTTAATGATAGTGTAATGTAAATGGTGTTACTAAATTTGAATTTGTCGCCATTAGTTGGCAAGTTACGTTGACTTCCGCTCTGAGGGTATATAAACGTCATACCGCTACAGTACAGTACAAAAGACATGCATTGTTCTTGTCAAATAAAATCTATTGCACGGAGAAAGTGTGAAACTTTTAAGTGTCTTATGCAGCTCCTGCTCGTACTACACAGCTTTTGAAATTATATTTGCAGAAAAATATCTCCGAAAGGAAAAGGATGAGAACACATGGAGAAGAAACGGAAAAATCAAGAAGAGGCGGAAAGAAGAAGGACCGGGAATGGGAAGGTGCCTACTATGTTTACGGAGTGCTAAATAACCAAAAATGCTATAAAACATGTAAGGAAAAAGTAAGACCATATTGCGTCACCACAAGCCATAAAAGTCCAATACACCTAAGGAAAAGGAACGGGTATCGCACTTCCAGCGGGAATTCTTGAATACTCGTGAGTCGTTTGCACATCTATCTTATATAGACTGCCTCACATCTCTCATTTTTAAATGCCACGCGTGGCGCAGTGGTTATAGCGTCTGCTCTAGAGTCGCGAAGTAAGGAGTAGATCCTTACGTCGCGGGTTCGAATACACTGCGGGACGTGGTGATCGGTCCTTCGGATGAGACCGTATAAACCGAGGTACCGTGTCGCAGTAAGTGTTGGCACGAAAAAGATCCCTCATTGCTCAATGGCCTGAGTGCCGAGTACACATGTAGTATAAATTTGCAGCCCTCCACCGGCAAGTTGTGGTGTCTCCATATGAGTGAAAAACTCTCGAGAGGGACGTTAAACAACAAAAAACAAACGACACTTTTGCGGAGATCACGCCACACTAACGTTGTTCTAACACCCACCTTACAAACTGCTTGCGACCTATTTTCCCATTTCTACCTCCATGGTCTGTACAATTCTTATCTACGACGAAACACGCAAAAGGCATGGTTCAAAAGACCCTGCGGCCAGATATGACTGAGGCTTAAAGCACTATAAAATTCAAAGTAACGATAACATTTATCTTTTATGTATAATTGGTACTTACTTGTGTCTAGTCCTCCCCCAGCCATTCCTTTTAACACGTGAATGCCAATCATCAGTTCATAAATAGAACACCATGGTATCAAAACAATAATGACAGCCAATGCTAAAGTAGAAGAGGATACACAATAAGTCTTTTCCTTCATTTTGTCAAAAATCAGTCCTGATATTATGGAACCTACAAGGTATCCCACAGAATGACCAGTCATGAAACCAGAGGATTCCTTCAGTGATGCATTTGTGATGATCCGTAAGTCCAGAATAGATGGACCAAACTGACCATATGCCCAACCCTTTGAAAAAATCGATAATATAACAATATTGGAACAATAAATACATACACGTATTGTAATTCACCCACCCCCTACATATTTATTTTGAAAACAAAAAACAAAACAAAACTATATATATATATATATATATATATATATATATATATATATATATATATATATATATATATATATATATATATATATATATACACTCACCAAAACAAAAAAGCTCCATGTGATTCCTAGTGAAATAAGGTATTTTTCTCTGTATATGGCATTACTTTTGAGTTTGGTTAGTATACTTCCTTTTTTATCTTTCAGAGAAATTGAGTGGTCTTGACAATTTTCCATGCCATTCTTCATTACTTGTATACCATTTCCACTGGCTTCTCCTTTGGTAAAAGGAGTTTTTTCATCATCACTTTTGTGCTGCAATTTTTCATTTTGGTTTATTTCTCTGGTGGCTGACCCCATGTTGCCTCAGGTATCTGGAATTTCTAAAGTGTATTTTTATAATATGAAAAATGTGGAGATAACGAACAGTATTCGAGCTCAAAAGTCCATTAAACATTACAAAATAGGAGCAGAGCAAACACGGACCTCTAAGACATCAGAGGTGGGATCAGGTGCCATGGAGGGGTGAGCACCCCCTGCCTACCGGTCACACCCGCCGTATGCTCCTTGTCATGATCGGGAAATAATGGAAAAATCCGTCGACAATTCAGTGTGTAAATAGTGGCCTAACAATTAGTATGAAAAAAGTCAGTCAGACTTGTGCAAAGTATTACAAGAATGAATAAATACTATAAAATCACATATTTTCATGGGGTCAATTTTTCGTGGTTTGAGGAAAAAATACTGGTACGCGGGGACTTGATTTTGTGATTGAAGACGTATAGCGTTGTCTTCTTTACAATTTTTACACTTCGTGGAGGACATCTTCATACCTCGAAAACAATGAAAATTAAACACCCACGAAAAAAGTATGTCTGTTTATGATGATATAAATCACTGCTACTGTCAAGCTCAGAAGACAAATATTCATTTCGCATCCACAAACTTAAAGGAAGTAATAAACCAAAACTTCAAATTAGAATGCTGAATTAAATATTTAAAGACATAATGATAGCATGATCAAAGACTGATGAAAATGCTTTCTAGATTGCCCGAGAAAAACACAATCTGAAACAAGTCATAGTTTGAGGCTAAGAAAAACACTTCATTGCAGAGGGGATGTCAGCAGACCCTAAAGAAGATCAATGCTATTAAATCACCTGCAATTCCTTAAAATGCAGGTGAACGTGTAGTCCTCTTTGAATAGCCAACTACATTTGCCATTCCATACCAAACTTTACAGAAATTATAGCTATGCTACGTATTTTCACCAACCAGAACACCACTTGGCATCGGGACAAAAAAGATCTATCCGCATCTTATGAAATGAAAGACAAACTAAGCACCGATGTTATTATTTTCATCCTGCAAAGAGGACAAAACTAATGGTTGATGCGAGTCTCGTGGGACTTGAGTAGCACTCACTCAAAATGGAGGGATTACGTACGCAAACAATTTCTCTCTCTCTCTCTCTCTTTGATGTGGAAATACCTATATAGAAAGGGAAGTGATAGCAATAGCATGGGGAATTGAACACTTTCACTTCTATTTCTTTGGAAAAGAGTGCTTACTAACTACTGCTGACAAACCCTTGTATATAATTATCAATAAACTTATGATCAGAGCAAACTCCTGACAGAAAAAACAGATGGAGGTTGGGGGTAAGATTCATATGACTATCAGGCGCGGATCCAGGAATTGAAGTTGGGGGGGAGGACGCAGAAAGTAGGCAGGGGGTCTGGGGGCCGCCTTGAGGCCCCCAGTGGGGGCCCAGGGGGCGAAGCCCCCGGAAACCCCTGGATTCTAGAGATTTTGTAGGGTAAAAATGAGGTCTACCAAGTAGACATTTTTACATTTTCTTGACGAAACTATGATTTACGCTAACTTTGACAGTTTTTTTTGGGGGGGGGGGGCGCCGGGTGCGCCCCCCCCCCTTAAATCCGCCACTGACTATACTGTTGAATATCGCTCTTAGAAAGAAGTCTGACTATATTTTCATGCATTCCATGAGATCAGAAAACACGTTTCTACGCTCATAGATAACAGAGGCATACTTGAACTTTTTCTATCTACAGCAAAACTAACGGTCCTGACACTTAAACAGATTACTAGTACTACCAACAATGACCGAATCATTGAAAAAGTCGTATCAAGAATGCTGATATGAGAATGGAAACCGACTCTGAAAATCCGGTCGTATTTTTGCATTCCAGATAAATTGATTATCGCATCAACAGAATATGGCAGCACACTACTATTCGAAAACAAAGATTACAGAGCTCACCCCAACAAGTATTCTCTTTAAGTAAGACAATGTCCCACACTTAATAAATAATCTTGTTGTCTGCATCCCTAGATGCAACATTTATGCAAATTTTTGTCCAGGTAGGGCTTGCAGTTACTTGGAAATGGACTTGTCCTAAAATGTATACTGGTCACTCCTCCAGAAATGCAGGCCAGATCTAGCAAACAAAGCAAGTCTGTAAGTGTGTATCCCTTGATCCATCACCCATACTTGTTTGCTCAAAAAGCTTAACCTAGTCAATCACCCAGAAAGCCTAGGTCAGATCCAGCATCCAAAAACTTTGAACTCACTTATCCAGAAATATAGGTCAAAACCAGCATCCGAAGCACATCTGGTAGTGTGCATAACTGTTCTTTTTTAGTCAGATACTTCGTGTGTCTTTGCGTCACTCCAAGATAAATGTGATAGACATTACTTATTTTGAACTCCATGCAACATGACATCCCTTTGCAGCAGCTACATATTGAAAGGAACTCTACGGTGAAGATTGCCAGATATCACAGAAATTGAGACAGCTGTTCAGAAATATTTTTTAAAGAAACTATACCTTTGTAACACCTGGACAGTTCCGCAGGTTAGAGCCGTCAGACCACACATGTATACGTAGTTCCGTAAAATTTCGAACCCGATCAATATTGTTGATTCCTTATAGATACACTGAATATTATAAAGCAACAGTAATATAATTTAAAATATAAAGGAAAAACAAACAAAAAGTCAAATGTAAAATTTAAACAATGGTTGAAGAATTTAAGTGGCATAGACATAAATTCTAAACACGGCATTCTGTGTAAACATAGGTAAACGTTTTACCGAACTCGAGCTTGGTGTAAAATGCGGAGAATGGAGTCTCCAAAATGGAGTGTCAGAAAGTGCAAGAGCCGGAGCCTCGCATCTCAATTTCAACACATTTGCCTGTTTTATCTTTCAATCATTTTAGAAACTAAATTCAACTGGGTTATTTGTAGGGCTCTCCATCAGTGATTATATGTGCCTGTCAAAATTAATTACTAAGTCTAGATATATTGTCGTAATTTTTTTTTACTGCAGATAATTTTGTCATGGGTAAACCACGACAAGAAGAAACAATAAAATGTCAACTGAAAATGAGATTTAGCAAAAAATAACGACCTAGAGATATTTCAACAACAAAGGGGAGAGGCAATTTCAAATTGTGTTTCTTTACATTAATGTATTTTTTTTAATTTCATGTTTATTAATACAGTTTTCCCTAGAGGTTTCGGTGATCTAGCCCTTAGCAGTTAAATTTTTGCTTTTCAGATATTTGATACCTATACTAATAAAATCTGTCAAGACTTCATGGGTTACTGTGAGATAGCAGCATGAAACATAAATCTTACAGAAGTTTCCATTGCACTCAGCGTCTGTTATCTAACAAAATTTAAATCAAAAGCAGAAGCTGCATGTGCCTCATTTGTTTCTCATATCTAAAGGTCATTTTTGGGTTTCATTTTGTTGTTTCTTGATCATGTTGCATTCTCATTCTTTATAGGAAAAAAATAACAACAATTATTGCTCAGAACTCTCTAATATAAGAATCAGTTTATTTACTGAATCTTTAACTAATTATTTTTAATTTTTCTAAAATGTTTTTGTGTCCAGTATATAATTGAGATGATATTTCTGAGTGAATAATGACATTACGGCACAGTTCAAACATCGGACATTGTCTTCGACAACAATAATAATTCAGACGGTAATAGGTGTTTTGTAATGAGGCCGATACTCTCTGTATCTTTGAATTAGGGCTTAGATACTTCCTGTGATAATAATGCTTTAGAACAAGGTCATTTGGTGGTTTAACTTATCTTAAAATTGCTGTCCACATCCATCGCACTTTTTAACCAAACCAGCAAGAAATGTGAGATGAAATGGTTGTTCTAAATTACTTTTTTCTGAAATAGCGTAATCCATTACTTCTAGATCTGTAAAAGTCTTATTGTTTCTACCTTTCCTAAATGGCGTTCCCTTTCGTTTCTGGCCCATATTCCTAGGCATTCCTGTTAGGGAAATTACTGTTAGATTTCTTTCATTTCTATTGTATTTCTTCGTATACTGTTGTATGTAATCCATTAATAAATTACAATAAAATTCTGTCGCAATTGTATGTTCACAAAGTTTGTAACAGTTGTAGCGGTGGCATTTGATTTCACGCGTGAATAAGGTTGTGCATTTAGATTTGTACACTTTAAATGGATCACATCTTTGATTTTTATTGAAGACAAAAAATAAATGTAGATTTGTCATCACACCCAGGCATTTGAACGATTCCATTTGCAGACTGAAAAATAACTTTAGCATCTTGGACGATGCGTTCAAGTATTGGAAATGGAATGTTGGTTATATCTGTGAAATCAGAAGAAGGATATGAGGTGAATAAAGACTGGGCAGCATCTTCAACAGGCCTATTTTCTACCACTTTTTCTTCTCCTTTTGATCGAAGAGGTTCTCGGAGCATTCTATCAATAAAATATTTATCCTATTATTTATTACATATAGTCGATATTTACTCATAATATTAACAATTACTATTTTGAAATATTGTAGCTTTGAAGAGGAAAGATGTCTAATGTATTAAACTTTAATTTTTTAGTGTAATTTAACATTCTAGTACTTACTTTTCAAATACAGCCTCTCTTTGCTTCACATACTTTCGCCAGTAAATATCTTCAATAAATTCCAACTGCTGATATTCAGTTTTCAATCTGTATTCACCCTTTCTTATCAAAGCTAATTTTACTACTGTTTCTTGTCGTTTTACAATTTTTTCCAGAGAGATGACAAAGTCTTTCTCACTCATCTTTAATTTTCCCTGCTCAGTCTTTCTAAGGTCTCCTTTGATGATCGCATTCATACACTCATTTGCATTTTAGCTGTATGGTTGAGAGGGGTAGCCAAGTCCAGCCAAACTTCGTTTATCTGCATTCATACAATTTTTTATCAGATCAGCTTTATGTTCCAAGAAATAGTTCAGAAATGATGATCCGCTGGAATGACGAGACTTCCACTCATTTTGTAAACTAGACAATTTTTGATCAAATTCC